TAAACTTGTCTTTCACAAGTAAAAGCAACTAAAGGTGTTTACCTTCTATTTATTTGGTCTATGGTGATGATTAATCCCTGCATATGCTGGTGTTCAAATGAAGGGTTCAAACTGCACAATCTAGAAAAACTAGTTAGGTTGGCTAACTATGTTTCTATCACAAGCAGTTGGAATGCCATTTTCTGGACTTCCAAAAAAGTCTTGGAAGTAAGATCTTGCATAAAGTGAGTTCTGCAAGTACTTTTTTGAGAAATTAAATCTGTTAGCAGCAGTAGTCCTAGTTATGGGGGATTAGTATTGCCAAGAAATGACTAATAAAATAGTTGGATGTTTGATTTTGTAAATTCCCCTCTCCATGGCAGCAGATCAAGGTGGGAGACAGAGAGATCACAACCAATAGAAGGCTCTTGTTACTTAAGTTGTTACTAATAGCAGATAGCCATTCACACAACACATTTTTTTGCTCACACACTCATAATTACTCTGTAGGTGTAACAACTGGGAGGCCAGTCCCCACCCTGGGACCTCTGGCTCCTAGAGAGTCCCTTGAAGAACCCTTTGCTTATTCAGGTATGTATATGTAATCCTGTTGGGGTTCTTTTGTTGGCATGTAGCAACCACTACCTGCTTGTACATGCACCAAGTTAATGCAACCCATGGTTGATACTAGTGTGGGTAGTGGCTTTGTACACAGCCAGCAGCCTCCTGGTGTTCTGAATTCATCAGTTCTGGTGGATTTAGCAGAACAACTGGTCTCCAGTGCTTACCAGTCCTGAGAGACTTTCACATGCTGCTTCTCAGCATGTAATAATCTCCTCAGCCTGCTGCTTGTTGGTAAACCTTCCTCCTTCCAGAGCTGTAAAACCCTGACACACAAACTCACACAAAGGGGCCTTTATCATGTATGAACTTTTAGTAAGGTACTAAAATTGTGCCCAGAGCCAATTCATCTTGACCCCAAAGGGTCAAGAAAATAGTTCTGATTTCTGGAAACCAGCAGATGTCAGTGGTTTCTGGCAGGTATCTACAGGAATGGTTCAGTCCTCTGGCCAAGGCAATGTGCAGACATGTACCTTGCAGTGACTCTGCTATCACCCATTTCAAAAAAACAGGATGCTAAAGGAAAGTCTGGCATAGAAAGCATGAGCTGTCATGCCTAGATGTACTCTATATGTCCATCTTGGCACTTCTAAAGTCAGTGTGATTTAGGACCTAAGGAGAGGGATTGTTCATCAAAGAATTCTGTTTTTCCTGCCACCTTGGTGTAATAAATAGATTTACTTACAGTGATTTTTCTCTGTTGTTCTAAGGCCTCTCAGGCTGGAGAAACCTGTCTGCTCCAGGGCAGTTTCTGTTGGATAGCAATATTTCCTTTTTAAATTTGTGTGTGTGTATGTATTTTGAATCAGCCACAGGCTGCTGAATTGTTTGCAGTTGTAAGAGTTAGGGCCTTCTCTCTTAGCTACTAATTTTTGTTTTCCCACAGCTTTTGACAATTTGGGAACTGTGACAGTCATATGACTGCTCTCTTCTGAATCATACTGAGTCTGCTGGCAAAATAATAATGCTAGCATGTTTATCCCTGAGTGAGTAATTCATTAGAGATGATTAACAAAGATGATAGACTCAGCAAAAGGAGTATCCAAATGGTGGTAGTTTTCTTCTCCTCCCTGCTCTACTTCCCTGGGAGAGATGAAGATTTAAACAGAGGAAGGTAAGTATCCATGCAAGTATTTAAAATCTCAAATAGATGTAAATACATGGGTTTGAGCACTTTGTTGTTGCTGAGTTTAATTGATTTTGGGTTTTGATTGGGGCTTTTTTTCATTGCTTTCCTCTCTGCACTCTAGGTATGTCACTGGGTAAGAACAAGGTGAGCATCTTGATCAGTACATAGTAGGAATTTCTAGATAAGAAAATCCTCCCAGGGGAAAAGCAACCGTGTAGGAGCTTTAATGCTGCTGTTTAGTCATATTAATTATTGCTTTAAGGAGGTGATACTACTTTGGTCTTTTCTGTGACCTCAGGTTTCAGGTATGTGACAACCTTACTCCTTGAATGTATTGAGAAATTCATAATTCGTAGGTGCAAGACAGCAGCTGCATGTTTATAAAGCACCTGGTTCAAGGAAAGTCTGTCAAGTGCCAGGTTTGTAGGAGTCCAGTTCCTGCCTGAAGCCCTACATTCACAAACCCCTGTTGCTTAACTGTGGTATTTAGGTCAGAGGAACAGGTCGGTAAAGCAATCTCAGGTTAACTAATCCTCCTCCTTATTGTCTAAATGGAGAGGCGTGAATCATCTGCAGAGCTGTGATCCTTACCTGCACACAGAGGTGTAGAGGTGAGTGCTTTGAAGTGAGTCCTGCAAAGCAGCATGTGCTGCCTCTGTACCTGCCCCTTCTCCTCTCCCCAGAGCCCCAGTTACAGTTTCGAGCTG